TAAAAAGTCGAGCGAATTTTTTACATACATTGCAGGTAGCAAATGTATACGACGCTGTATATATATTTATCTGTTGCGTATCTGAGGGACAAAATTTTCCGATCTACATCGACAATGCTTGGAAATAAACTAAAACCAAATCAATATATTATCAAGCGAATCGCTCGTCTTGCCATTCAGCACCGAAAGAATATGTGACTTGCGCACGCAACTTACTGCTTCGCGCTTGGCGTTAACGAGTACTTACAACAAGCGACGGACGAAAAATCGAATTTTTAAATACGAACGATATTTCGCTCGAGCGATCGCTCTGTTATTGCAATCGCTTGAAACTCGAGTTCTCGATTATTGAAATTAATCGGTTTTTCCCATCACTAGTTATAACGTGTTATAACTCATCATATAGTCTCAGAGCTTTGACAAAAGCCAGCATCTGAGACGGCTCCACAGAGACCAGCTCTCCATCTTCGACATTAGCCGTACCTAAGTTTATGACGATCGGTTGTCGTCTCGGCGCACTCAGTGGCGAGGTGTTCTGGTGTTTCCCTATTTTCTCCACAGAATCTGCATTCGCCGTTGTTTCTCAGCTTCAATTTACTGAGGTGCTCGTTGAGGAAACAGTGTCCTGTTAGAAACCCCGTTACAATCCGAAGATTGTTCTTACTTAAATCAAGGAAAATATATGATTTTTCTCGGTCTTAAGTTCTGAAGAATTTTTTCAGATAAATGTGTAATGTATGTGTACTGTAATCAGATATAAATATTGTATAAAAATGTCTCTTTAATAATTAATCTAACTAGTTGGATGACTGAAGTTATAAAGATGACGATGAAGCATAAAAATTAGAAAAATCTAAGTACGTAACTCAGCTATTGTAAAAACTGACTTTAAAATATTACTTCCATTTGTGATTACATATTTTCTTATTGTTTTCAAAGTCTCTTGTTTCTCGGCTACTTCCATCGTGTTCTCTTGTTAAAGAAGTATGCTTCAATTAAAATGTTAATCTATTTGATATTTTTTAAGATAAAGTCAAGTGTTAAATAAAATATTTATCAACAACTTAGAAATTTAAAATTTTTAATTTACTATTAATTATTATTTCTTTTAATTACGATGTTTATTAAATTTATGAGTTCATAAAGTACGTCATTATGTATGTCAGGAATAATTCGTTATAAATAATTATAGAAATGTGTGGTTATCGCTTCTTCAATTATTTAAATGTTAAATGTCAGTTGATCTAGTCTCATCACGTAGTTACGTCAAAGATTAAGGTTACGTCATCGATTAGATAGCATATACCCTATGACCGAAAACGGCATTACGCTGGCTTGATATATGACGAATCGATGACATTTACCATATAATTTTACCTATAAAATTACTTAATTTCCATCAATTTGACGCCTTTTAATCATGTGATACTAGATATTTTTTAAATCTTTCATTTTAGATTTATGAACATAAATGTTATTTGAATATAAGAAATACATTGTATTAAAAAATTCAGTTTTAGGAAGTTTAATGACGAGATCTAATGCTATCATTTATTTTGGCATTGTATTTGAGCGTGTATTTAAATGTTTAATAAAATTTCTTAGTTTTACAGAGTTACTGTATTTTGTAAGTAATTCTTCTCACGCACCTATTAAATGTTATCAAACGTATCAAATGACTTTAGAGGCAATAAAGCGTCAGTTATTAAGCATTTAGTATCAAAATATCCGTGTCAGTGTTAATTAGGAAGCGTGGGTTAATTCATAGAGCAATGTAGGCAAGTTTTATTGAGCATCAACACCCTCCATTTCATTTTACGACCTTTTTGTACAAAATTAACTCACTGAAAAAAATTATGGGAACATTGAAACCGAGATATTTTTTTACGATTAGTAGTTATTATCGATCCTAGAAATTTTGCTTATCCGTATAGCTATAATATATATTTTTTTAACAAGGTCAAAGACGATCAGTAAAAATCGTTTTTTTACCTAAAATTATTATGGTAAAAATAGCAACACATGAGGTATATCAATATTGCCAAATTTCTTCATCTACACTTTACACTTCATTAATGTACTAAAATTTTTTATGGTACGATACCTGTTGCCTGACCTATTGGGGGTAGTAAAAAACTTTTAATGTATGCCTCAACAGACGTCAGTTTATTAACACATGTCAATTGTGCAGACCAGTCTGCGCAGTTTTAACTGTGGAACAGAATGTAAACAAGTATCTTTCATATTTGATAAATGATGTTTGTATTCTCTTCTATATAAAGTAAAGTAAAGATTAAATTTCAGTTAACGTCTCTTTTTTGCTGCCAGGGCTAATCTGGATGGGGCCTACTTTGTTTACGCGGAATTCGAACCGCGGTCCTCGGCTATATCATGGTCAATGGCCTATCGACTTGGCAAGTGTCTAAATCGACTCTTACTCACGAGATATCCGATCTCATCCGGCCTCGAACCGGCGTGAACGAGCAGTGTGTGTCAATAGATTTTACACTTTTGCCTTTTTTTGGACAACAGCACGATACAGAGTTTCGAACCGGTCACCCGTCCATCCACTAGTATCGTCTTACGTCGCTTAACTTCGGTGTTCTAATGGGAACCGGTGTTTCGACGTAGCTGGGCCGTTGCCCTCTTCTATATAAGCTTGTCGATTTAGTTGATTATTCATATTATAATTCGTCAACTTATTATCAAGTTTATTAGTTATGATGCATCATTCATTACGAAAATATGTTTTGTATAAAGTGGAAAATAGAACTTTATTTTTATTCAAAATAATCTGTCTGATCTACTGAAATATTATCTATTAATTACTTGGATCATTTGAATGAAAAACAAATATTGTCGAGATGTTGAGTAAACATGTGTTCTACAGGAATCAGAAATTAACAAATAGATTTATTATTTTATTTCCTTTTTCTTACTTTATTTTTTATTTTCTTCGATTTTATTTTTTTACTTTGTTGAAATGCAGTGATGGGCGGTGGGTAAATACCTGGTATATGCTCAGACGGTCTAGGGATATATCCACTGAGAAATATTGTAAATATATTCCTGGTATTATACTGAGTATTTATTATGCGGTGGTCGGGGAATCCCTTTACAAAATTAGGGTATTCACATAAATTGCACCGCTCCGCGCCGGCGCCGGCGTTGTGCTGTTGTGTTATTGATAGAATTTATTGGCTATTGTGCACTCTTCTGTGCATTCTTTGACTAACTGGTAATTTTCTGACCATTCTTAAACGTTTCTTGAATGTTGAATTTAAAAACAAATTGTTAAAAGTGGCGCTATACCCATATAGGATTTTTTTGGAGAGATGAATCCGCCACATAGGTATAGGTATTTTTTCACAATTGTTGTTATTCAAGTATACCTTAAAGAGTACGCTGTACTTTCGGGTCGCTCTCAGGGGTCGGGTAAAGCGGGTGTATGGGCGAAGAAAATATACATTATATTTCAGAAGTATGTCCTCAGGCTTAGCCCGATCCTGTCGTGTTAAGCCACACCAAAAATTCCAAACACACGTGCTTTAATTAATAATTAAGGTTTGCAGAGCTGCAGCATTTGCCATAAAATAGCGAGCAATTTGTTTCAAAACCATATAAATCATATATCACTGTAATCACAAAACTTCAATCTATTTCCGTATTGCAACGAAATTTTGAATTATGTTTTTATGTATTTTCGAGGAAATTTAGTCCAAACATAAGGAATATTTTGTTGATGTTTGACCATCAAAATCTTAAAAATAAAGAAGTTGTCTAAAAATGTGCTCCAATACGGATATAGTATAATCCTTTATCTTTAATTTCCTTCTTCATTTATGTAAAAATACCTAGCCAGTTTTACATAAAACGTTAAATGCCGAACGCTTATTTTGCTACTTTTTCGGACTAGTGAAATGGACTCTTAAATTAACAAATTATACAGACTATAATGGTATTTACCCAAATTAAATACCGGGTGCGTCTCAAAAGTGGCTCACCCCTATAACTTTTTTATTTTTTCAAATAAAACAACGATATTTGGTATGTGAATATATGACATAAATTGGGATCGATTGACGTATCCAATTGTTATCGGTCACTTCTGGTTTCACCGGAAATGTCTACAACTTTTGATTTTTAAATGGCACTGTGAATAGAATTACATATCATATGTCAACTTTTGACATTTTGGCATATGATTTATTTGAAATTGTAACATGCGGTTTATAACGACAATTTGACTCAAAATACCAAGTGTGTGGTATCAAATTATTCGTAAAAAAATGCATTTTCCAAATATGCTAATGAGCAACCCTCGTTCTATTTAAAAAAATTGAGGTATGATTAAAAATACGATTTGGATTGCAGCCATGGCACTCTAGATTGAGATTTAAACTAGAATTTGTTTTTGAGCGACTATGTCAAAAATTGATATATGGTATGTCATTCGATTCAGAGTGCCATTTTCTATCGAATAAAGTAAAAAAATACCGAGAGTGACATTTAAAAATCAAAAGTTGTAGTCATTTCCGGTGAAACCGGAAGTGACCGAAAACAATTGAATACGTTAATCAATCCCAATTTATGTCATATACTAACATACCAAACCTCGTTGTTTTATCTGAAAAAATAAAAAAGTTATAGGGGTGAGTCACTTTTGAGACGCACCGGTATACCCTGTATCCTGTATTTACCCACTGGGTATATCCGAGTGCAAGACCTTGGATATTTACCCTAATTCCAATATACCGGGTGTTTGTCCATCTCTGCTGAAATGGAATGGATTCTAGTATTGTTAATAGTGATTTATGATTACTACTGGAATTTGATCTCATCATTCATTATTTTTTTTAATTAAATATCAAAATTATTAAATCTATTATTTTTGAACGACCATTGGAGTTATTGTAATCTTATTATACCCTGTTATTGTAATCTTATTATACCTTATATTGCGATTTACCAATCAATTGAATGAAATATTTCTGTTTCAGAAATTGGATTGCGGAACTAGAAAGAGCAAAGAATGGACCCCGAAAAAGACCTATAGAACCAAGTTTAAAACGAGCTATATTTAAGACCTTCGCCAAGTCATACTTCTTTTATGGAGCTTTTATATTTATTCAGAGTGTTATCATAAGGTAAGCTAGTGATAAGAATACGTCTACATTGCGACGTACTGTATTTCCAAGCACATACATATTGAGGCACATACATTTTTTAGATTATTTATGTTTGTTTTAAATGCGTACGAAAATAATTCATAAAATTTAATAAAGAATCAGGTAGAGGTTAATCGTTTACTTTTCATGTAAGTAACGTTTGTATCATTTATGCGAGACATGACGACGGAATGAGAAAAAGCGGTTACTTCCAGTTATCGTTTTAACGATTACTATAGACTTGTTGTCGATACTGCTGGCTATACAGTTGTAAGTTATAAAAAATCATTCGCCAAGAAGGTGATCGTAAACGTGAAGCATTTTGCTGAATATTTGTTTTATGGTGTTTTTATACAGAGTGGTGCTTCTCAAACGACACGGTGTCTCTAGAGAAAACGAAAATTTGTATTGAAAATTATTTGGAGTTTCCAAAAAGGATATAAAGGGTGGTCCGAACTGTATTACATATAATAAAAATAAGTAAAAAAGTTCGTGTAAATGTATGTCCTGATATGCTTAGTTTCAGAGATACAGGGTGTAGAAGTTTCATTTTTATTTCGATTTTTTCCAAATAACTTCTGAAGTAACGTCAATATTTGAATGAGAAATTTTTGGCATGAGAAATTTGATTTTGATGGCAATAAAACTCCTTTTTGTAGAGGGCGCCACCTATATGTTTTAACTGATTTGAAGAGTAATAACTTTTCGTCTGTAACTGTATCTACTGAGTGAAAAGATATACATTACCGTGATTTTTTACGCAAAAAAGTCTCTTGGTAAAAATCGGCTACGAGCAACCATTCTCAAGATATTTAGAATGGAAATAGTCAATACATCAATACATGTCATTATTGACAAAAAATAAACATGTTGAGTAGATAGTTATTTCACAGATTAGGTATACTATATGTATACAGATAAAAATCTTGTCCCTAATTCGTGGTACGAAAATTGTTTTTAATGACGATGAGCAAACGAGTAAAATTTCCTGTGCGCAAAAATAAACTCGCGTTTAAACAGCGTAATAACTGGGCCGGTCAGGCGCTGTGCACAATTTTAGAGGCCATAAGTGGGCGTGCTATGTGCGCAAACTAGTATCCTAACTAGTGCGCGACTCCGAAAATTGGAACCACGAAAAACAATGCTTTTGACGATAAGTTTATAATCTGTGGTTATTTGGCTGAAATGATAAATTTGGGAGTTTTTTATTTTTTTAACTTAATCATAAATTTTTCTTCGAAAATATGATGATAAAACAGTTTCTGTTGAACTTTTGGAAAATAAACAATTTAAATTTATGACATTAGTTTCGTAACTATTTTAGTCAACATGTTAAATTTATGCCATTGATGACAGGTATTGATAATTTCGATTTCAAATATCTCGAGAACCATTACTCGTATTTTTGGCAAGGAAATTTTTTTCGTTAAAAATGTCGCAAATGTATATTTTTTTACTCAGTAGTTTTATACAGGTACGGACGAAAAGTTATTACTATTGAAATCAGTTAAAAAATATGTAGGTGGCGCCCTCTACAAGTAGGAGTCATATTGACATCAAAATCAAATAATTCATGTCAAAAAACTCGCAGACATCAATTTTCATCCAAATATTGACGTTTTTTCAGAAATTATTTGAGAAAAAATCGAAATAAAAATGATAGAAATTTCACTTTGTATCACCAAAACGCATTTTAGGACATACATTTATACGAACTTTTTTGCTTATAATTAATATTAATTAACTTATAATTTAATTACTTTATGCAGAATATGCTGCCGAAGATTCCGGAATACAGTTCGGACCACCCTGTATATCAGAGATGTGTTTTTTAATAGAAAATCTGTATATTAATCGATTTTCGGATTCTACAATGGAAATTAAGGCCAGATTTATTAGTTTGCAGCGAATGTCATTTATTATACTTTTTCGTACATTTTCGGCATAAACTTCTTTAATGAAGCTGGTATTTACTGGTACTAAGTAATTGTCTTTCTAGAATCCAAAAACAATATACTTATAAGCTGTTCAATTAAAAAACACAACTTTTATATAATCCCTTTTTGATGATATATTTATAGAACTACAGTTAATTTAAAAATGTGAAAACGAAATAAACCTACATAATATGTACGCTCCAAAAATTTCGTTCCAATACAAATTTTTGTGTCTATGTTATAGGAGAGGCGCCATACCACCCTCTATTTTATTATAATAGACGAATCGCCAGTGTGAAAAGCTATGAAGAAACTGTAGAAAAATAAAATGTTTTTACATCTACATGATATATAACATGTGCATCGCCTTTAAATTAACAAAACTGTAAATATTTGTTCATTTAATTAAAACCATTCTTAAAAATTAATGCCAAATTTGAAATTTGAAAGTAATACTTATTATGTTGTAAAGTAAAATTGTAAATAGCAAAAATCATTTATAAACAAGACTGTCTTAGACCCTGCATATTGTTTATTTCTTCTTTGTTTTGTTTGTTTCATATACCGGGTGCGTCTCAAAAGTGGCTCACCCTATAACTTTTTTATTTTTTCAGTTAAACGAGATTTGGTATGTTAGTATATGACATAAACTAGGATTGATTGACGTGTTCAAATGTTTTCGATCACTTCCAGTTTCACCAGGTATGCCTACAACTTTTGATTTTTAATTAACACCCTCGATATTTTTTTACTTTATTCGATAGAAAATAACAGAATGACAGATATACAATCAATACATATGTCATAATAGAATGACATATCATATGTCAAGTTTTGACATTTTCGCATATAGCTTATTTGAAATTATAACTTGCGGTTCATAACGAAAATTTGAGTCGAAATACCAAGTGTGTGGTATCAAATTATTCGTAAAAATTGCTTTTTCCAAATATGCTAATGAGCCACCCTCTTTCCATTTGAAAAAATTGAGATATGATTAAAAATACGATTTGGGCATGTTTAAACCGGCCAGGGCAAGACACTGAAAACTTTAGACGATCAAATCTATTTTTCCAAGGCTTCTTGATTAAGAATTAGTGTTTTTACCATAACCATGGTACTCTAGATTGAAATTTAAAGTATGATTTTTTAATAAGCGAGAATGTCAAAAGTTGACATATGACATGTCATTCTATTCAGAATGTCATTTTCTATCGAATAAAGTAAAAAAATACCGAGGGTGGTAAAAATCAAAAGTTGTAGTTATTTCCGGTGAAACAGGAAGTGACCAAAAACAATTGAATATGTCAATCAATCCTAACTTAGGTCATATACTAACATACCAAATCTCGTTTTTTTACCTGAAAAAATAAAAAAGTTATAGGGGTGAGCCACTTTTGAGACGCACCCGGCATACATTTTCTTATAACATATTTTGTAATAGAGTAATAGACTAATCAATCATTACCTTGGTAGTTTTCTAAATTATATAGATATCTTCATTAGCTAAATGAAATATGTTTAGTTTGTTTAGTGTTATTGATAGCTTGTACAACAAAACATAACATCAAATATTTGAAATAAAAATAATCAATTTATAATTTGTTTTGCCGACACTATGAACATATTCAGAGGCTCAAAATGTTCGTATTTACCATTTACAGTTTTCTTGTAACGTTTGAGAATATGACTACTTTTTATTTTTTTATTCTTCTTTTGTTAAAACTATTTGAAGAAGTCCTTTAAAATATATGTATGTCTTATTCAGTTAATTGCTAGAACATTTCCTTTTTGCCGCCAAATAATGAATAATTCATAAATTTTTCAAAGTATATAATAGCTTTTTACAGTCGTGAATTGAATGGGTTAATATTTACTTAACAATAAATTAAAATTACGGTATTCATTTCAATCAAAATAATTAAATAATTTTTTAACTGGTTTGCTTGTAACTTAATATTAAGATATTACAATTTCTGAAGCACTTAATTCCATATAGTATGACAAACGGATCTGAAACAATGGTACAACGGAAAGGGGATCACAGTTTTGTAAAAACATAAGTCATTTCAAGCGAATAATCATTGGTTATGGTTGACAGATAAACAAAGCTTTAAACGTCAGTTGTCTGTCAAACGATTGGTTGACGTTTAAAGCATTGTTTATCTGTCAACCATATATGATAATAATAGCTCCCATATATAGCGTTAACGCCTTGGGAGTAGCAAGGTACAGCTTGCCATGCTAGAGCCGTTCGGTATATAAGGAAGGTAATATGGCTAGCACTACGCTTCAACCGCCTATATTACTTCAGGATTGTGAATCCCAAGTACTCATTTAAGGCTGAGTCGACCTAGGTACCTAAACTATTTTTATTTTATTAAAAATAGTCGTCTGACGAAATGCCGGGTGTAGGATTCGAACCCACAACCTTGAGATTGGTAGACGAGAGCTGTACCTCTACGCCACCGTGCACCTACTGTCAACCATAACCAACGGTTATTCGCTTGAAAAATTCGTTAGCTCTACATCTTCGACATCAGCCGTACCAAAGTTTATGGCACGATTGGTTGTCGTCTCGACGCACTCAGTAATAAGGTGTTCTGGTGTTTCCCCATTTTCCCTACAGAATCTGCATTAGCCGTTGTTTCTCAGCTTCAATACTGAGGTGTTCGTTGAGGAGACAGTGTTCTGTTAGAAATCTCGTGACAATCCGAAGACTAGGGTGGAGACAATTCTCACGACACCTAACAGTGTTGGCTGGGGGGTCAAAAAATCCTCGGGAACGCCCGTAATCAATGGACGCTCCTTTAATGAATCTCAATGCCATGTCTGCATTGTAGTTTATCAATGAAAGTTGTAAATCACTTAAATTTATTAAGTGGATTTAAATTTATTAAGCCTCTTACTTTCATTTTTTTTCGAATCTATTAAATTTATCACTGACCTATTAAAAGAGTATACCAAACGTTTCTATGTAATTTTTGATGATAATGAAAAAATGGGATTTTGAAAACGACATTGACTTCGTATTTTTAAGAT